AAGAATCTATTTTTTAGCTCAGACAATTAAATGTTTATATTAGCTTTAACATAAGAATAACTTAACGGGTAAACATCTTACTCATTTTGCCAACATGAACTTAGAATAACGGTAATTGACATATGTCATCAAGAGTCATGAATTCGAATCTCCCACCCACTTGTTTTACTAAAAAAAAAAATTATTTTACTCATTTTCTAAAGGTCTAAAGTTCAATCCTTCATCTCTAATCACCAAATTGATTGTATTAAAAATAATTAATATTACATTTACTAACGGTATATACTACTTGTAAGTTTTAATTTCTAAAATGGATAATAATTTTTTTAAAAGTATACAAACGAAATTGATATTAATGACTAAATTTGTATTATAATCAAAATAAGTAAAAAGGAGGACAAATCTAAACCTCAAATTTAGTGGAGATTAGTAATATATTCTTCATGAATATAGCTTATATGTTCCTCCTAGATCCCTCAATGATCATAATAACTTTCACCCTTTCTGAAAAATGATAGTAAAAAACTCACTCTTGATACAATCCCAATTACAGATAGAACTCACTGTGGAATTTGATAAGTCCCCAAACGATTCAAGTATTTCATCATAAATTTCCCTGTTTCCACTTTCCATGGCTGCTTTAAGGCTATACCTTTAAAAGCTGAGATAAGTTTGACTTGGAAGAACCACAGCTGAAGTCTGGCTGATCAACAGAGTGTACAACAACCTCAGGATTTGGAGATTCTAACTCAACTATCACCTGTACCAGTAATAGTGTACTATTCAATGTGAGATTTTTAGTGCAAAAATAGGCCAATGGGCAACAGATAAACAAAATTGCGTATAGTTATCAAGTAAACTTGTTCCAGCTAGTTTCAAATCTCTTTTTACTTAGATAACCATTTTGTTTTTTGTTTCCTGCTTTTAAAAAGTAGATCGTAACAACTTATTTTTGTTTATCAAATTTGGCTAAGAACTTGAATGTGTTTTTAAAAAAGATGATAACATACAAAAGAAAATGTGGGGAATCGAGCATAATTTTCAAAAACAGAACTAAAAATGAAATGGGTCTGAAACGGGACCTTAGCTTTTAATTTCTAATTTCATACGGAACCTTCAATTAGTTAAATTTTTACTTTTGTGAAGATTTGTGAAAGCCTATGAGCACTCTATTGGATGCCGACTAGATAGAAGTTATTTTTTAAGTACCAGTTTTTCAATGCTTTTAAGTTGAATTTCGACATTTGTTGTCGAGTATTTTACATGCTTGATTTTTTAGGTAGGGTCAGATATTTTGTGGTTAGGTTTGAGCATTTTTTAACTTTTTGTTTGGTTAAAACATGATTTAGCAGGTTTATGAGCAATTTTGTAATAGAAATATACAAAAATTTCATACCAAAACATTCTTCCCAAGGCGAAGTATTGGAGCAGGAACATATAGGTTGCATTGTGGTCCTACTACCTGCAAAATCATCATTGATAAATGCTGGGATGAAAACGAAGCTTACACTATTTTAGTCATCCTAGAGATTTGATTGGACACAAAAAGGGACACTAGTTTACCGGCCAAAACCTTCCGAGATTAAATTCATTCACAAATGCAATCCCTTTAGTCCATCCAGCAAAGGATAGGAATGTATCTTTTCTGAGGTTCACTTTGTCTACATAAAAATAACCAGTGTAGAGTGTTGGTTCGCTCGAGAAGTTACCTGGAGAAGAATAACAAATAAACGTAAATTATATATAGGGTAAAATACATTTTTGGTCTTGAGATTTGGATTTGGTTTCTATTTAGTCCCTAAGTTTAAAAACCATTACTTTTTCTTTCTTTTTTTCTGATAACCGGGAGTCAGAGCTTTACTCCCCTATACCCGGAGGCACTCAAACCCGCCTCAAGGCTCGAACCCAGAAGACATCAAGAGTTTTTGGTATTAAGTTCACCCGAATGTTCAAACTTGAGACCTCTAAACCGGTATGACCAAGAGATCCCAAGTCCTTGCTAACAGCGCCGTCCCCTTGGGAGCTTAAAAACCATCACTTTTGGTCCCTGAGAATTAAATTCAATTTTTATTTTGTCCTAAGTTTTGAAAGTGACATACTTGATGCCTGAAATCTGAATTTAGTTTTAAATTAGTTCTCGAGGAGTTTGGTTTCGAATAGGTCCCTAAATTGAGTTGACCTAATGTGATTGTTAACACATGTCGACTAGACTTTTCCACTTAGGTAAAATAGAATGAAGAATGTCATTGATCAACTAACGGTCAACTTAACTTAGAGACTAGTTAGAAACTAACACCAATCTTTAGGGACCAATTAGAAACTAAATTCAAACTTCGATGACCAAACATGTAACTTTTAAAATTTCAAAGACCGAGTTGACACTAAATTTAAATCCCCCGGACCAAAAATGATGGTTTTATAAACTCAGGATAAAATAGCTTCCAAGTCCAGACCTCAGGGATCAAAAGTGAAACCTCGAAAAATGAAGCATATTTGAGATGAGGGGAAAAGAGTAAGCAAGGCACACGCAGAACATCAGATCAACCTTTATTTCTAATGCAGTTTTGTTTCATAAATCATACCGGACTTGACTTCTAACTCTCTGCGTGCTATGGTTTTGTGGAGTACAGAATGTGCAATCCGAGAGAAAGAATTGAATCTCGGAATCTCATTCAGGTTGTTGAAAGGAATTGAGAACATTTTCCATCCATATAGAATTCGGTCGTCCAAGTAAACAGATGATAAGATGCCCTGAAAGAGCAAGCAAGAAAGACCAGTCATAAAATAAAAACCAAAGAAAAATAAAAGGATTGCCTGTTTCTCCTCCTTGCTCAGGAGCAACTGTGCTAAATAAGACCATAACCCAGGTACAAAGTTCATCTCTTAGTTAGTTTACCTTCCTGTCAAACAAGTAGCGTCCATAGTTTATGCGACCCATATTCTCAACCTAAAGAACGTATCAATTAATACCGTACATTAGATGAATAACAAAATCAGAATTTAAAGATGAGCTAGGAAAAAGATTATCAATAACTACCCTTTCGTCCTGAATATAGAACCATAGATTATCTTTACTATAATAATAGCCAATTTCATTGAATCACTTTGTTAGAATAGGCATTAGGATCTATTCATTCATTTAATGATTTTTTAAAATAATAATGCAAAGATTTGAGCGTAGGATTTTCTTAGTTCATATTGAAGTAAATCACGACTAATGTCAAAATTTTAGCTATTGGTAGGGTAAATTTAGTCATTTGCATTAATTCTTAACAATGGCATGACAAGAATAGGATCAAGAACAACTAAGCGCAATTCTTCATGTTTGCCCATCAAGCAATTTATAGTCTACAATAACTCTTAACAATGGCATAACAACGATAGAATAGACAACAATTCAGCCCAAATTGCTCATGTTTGCCAAAAAAAAAAAAAAGTGTCAGAGGTAGGTGAGACGCTGGTACCAAAATATATAAGGTATTTGCATCGCATCTCGTATTTGGCAGGTTAAGTCGTCGGTTTGACCATCTTTCAATAATTCCGGCAGGAGTTGGCCTTGCACCATTGTTTTTAGAAGAGCAAGAGAAGAACACTTGTGCTCGATCATGAATCTGCAAATTCTTGTAGATAAGTCGGTCTAGTACAAGCTACTGGTTATTCATGAATTTCAAACTACTGAATCAAGAAGTTTATATCAAAACTAGTGCTCTAGTTAGAAAAGAAGCAATTCAAGCAAAGTTTCTAAAAAATCAAAATAAAGCAGAAATGCTTGAATAGTTCTGCACCTCTGGTATAAATAAAATGTGTCCATCTCCATTATCCTTGGCCGCATATTCAGTTGCATATAACAGAAATCCAAAACTCTGAACAAACAAAAAACATTTAGCTTCTAAGCATTAGGCATTTCAACAACCTTGAGCCATTCAAGACAGGAGTGGCACATTCCAACCTACCTGATCAACAGATTCCATTGGCAGTGGTTCTTCAGATGTAGCCACATCAAGTGGATCTATCATATGAATCATATCAAACAAGAATGCACTTTTCTGCAAGTGAATCGGTCCATAACCTATCTTTTCAATATTAGAAGGAACCGAAGGAAGTAATGCTCCACTGTAGTGCTGTATAACCCTTCGAATTGCTAAAATCATTAAATCACTGGAAGTTAGAAATTTGAAACAGCAAGAGAGTAATACTGTCAGGAACCTAACAATCTTGTAAAAGGGTATCATCGACAAATAATTCCTATAAATATGCAGCTTGAAGTGGAAATGATATGATTATTGAACTTCTACTCCTTCCATGTCACTCATCTAAAAATTAACAAAATGCGAGGATAAATAAATAAAGCATAAGTTTGTTTAAATCTAAATCCAAGCACTTCTTTTTTTGTAGAACAAGAAACTATTTCATTGATATATGAAATATGATAACAAAAGGGGCCCAAATTGGGCTACAAAAAAGCTCTCTAATTAGATAAGAGAGAGGCAAAACTATAGTGATGAAATATAGGGGAGCATTTACACCAAGATATCACTAAGAAAACTATGGAATCAAATAAGAGATGTGGAGGACGCTCCTTATCTTGGAAGATTCTTTGATTTCTTTCCAACCCAATCGTTCAAAGAAACGCCCGAACAAAATGAAGCCATAAGCAAAGTTTCTTCTTTTTGAAGGGGTGACCGGTTAGGGTATAGTCCAGAAGCATTGATAAATCGGTAGGTAAAGCCGTCGACCATCCAAAAAGAGAAAGGAGCTTTTGCCAATAACTTGAGGCTAAATCACAAGAGACAAACACATGGCCACTAGATTCGTCATGTTTTTTTGCATAAAGTGCACCAGTGAGGAGAAATATTGATGAAGGGCATACGTCTTTGGAGCTTTTCCTGTGTATTGATAGCATTGAGACTAGTTTCACATAGGGAGAACTTTATCTTCTTTGGGTAGTGATCTTTCCAGATAGCACTGTACAGAGAGGAAGTTGTCTGTTTGGTGGATGTCTTTAATGAGGAAGGAGGTGGCGAATTGTCCATGGCCACTAAATTCAAGCACTTTCATCATCCATTGTTATTGTTAGAGTATATATTAGTATATTTTATATTCTTGTATTAATATTAATTTGTCATTTACCTTCTCCTTATAGGATTAGATCAACCTTGTATATTTATCTATATATATAGACTTTAATAATGAGAATACATCACATTGGATTCTCTCCAACCTTAGTCTCTACAGTTATAAATAAATGCAACATGCTTCAACGCCTAGCCCACTTCTCACTCAACTACGTCAAACCAAAAATAGGAACAACTTCCTAGAAAGGAAATAAAATTATCTGCCAGTGATGTCAAGTTACAGGGAAAGAGTAATTTCAAAGAGAATTTATGGACCCCATAATTTGATTGAAATGGGTTGGGGTCCCCTGGAGCCACTCTCTATCCTAGTTTGGTTAGTTGAGACATTACAAGAGGGGAAAAGTAAATGTGGTTCATCCAAAAAAAAAATGCACAGATAAAGAAAAAGAGACATTGGAGAAAATAACCTTTATATTTAGCATTGTCAATGTCACCAGATTCCTTAATTGGTGCATCCTGAAAAATGCAGCCGTAACTTAAAATTTACGTTTCACAATTATGCAGATGAGTAGAATTAAAAGGAACAAAATAAGTGAAAAAGAAATAGGAAAGCAATATTAATATCATCCTTACATAATCATAAGAAGTAAGATCAGGCTTGTAATCCAACACATCACCACCTGTATTCGCTCCATTATAAAATCCAAAATTTGTTCCACCATGAGCCATCTAAAATGGAAAAGATGAAATAGTTTTTTGAAATGGCAATAAAGGAGGAGCTACAGTTTAGATATTTCAAGACATACATAAAGCACGGCTGATCCTTTCCCTGCCAAAATTTCACTCAACGCAGCTGCTGTAGAGTCGGCATCAGTTGTTGCAATATTTTCTCCCCAGTGCGTAAGCCATCCTGTGTAGAACTCTCTAAACAGATAAAAACTTTTTAAAGAACTTAAAATTTTATTATTAGTTAAAAGAGGCAAATTTTAAGAACATGGCACTCACGCAGAAAGAGGTGGAGATTTTCCGGGGGCATTGAACTTCTTCTGTAAATTAAAAATAGGCCAAGGCCTTTCACCAGTTGAAAAGTCAACAGCTACACAGTGGCAATAAGGCTGGGTGAGGTGAGGTCAAATACAGGACCAAGGACGATATCATATTGTTATTTTCTCATAAAACTAAAGAAGGAGGAAGAAGAAAAGATAAAAGCAGTGGTCATGTTAGAAAACTAAACATATTCTGATTATGAATTTACCCGAAAAGACAGCATCCCCACGAATGGTTCCTTTCTCAAGAGTTTCCCTAGTACCTCCATCTGTAGTATACCTAAACATCATTCATAGGTTAATTTCACAACAGTTAGTTGTGGAAGACAGCAAACATGCTTAAAATAAAAATTATAGATAATCAGACTACATTATTAATATAAGAAATAGTGAAATCTCAATATGCAAGCAAAATCTTGTCCTCATTCATGAGCATCCATCTGAACCATGAATTTAGATGCAAATCAAGGCCTATTTGATAAACCAATTAAGTATTCCTAGGTTACCAGCTTGTAAATAAAATTCTGTAGCCACAAGAAGCATAACAAAGACAAGTATAAGTAACCTTGTTCAACTCAAAAATCCGAAAGTGTGAGAATTTATCATTGTTATTTTGCATCATTTAGCTGAAAGTATTATTTCAAACAATGAACATAACTTTGGATAATCAGAACAGCTTACAGAATTACTTCATCCCCAAGGTAGCCTCTTGCCAACGTAACCAAATGGTGAAGGTAAGCTTGATCATCTCCATATGAGCCAAATTCATTTTCAATCTGTCAAAACAGTCCCTCTGGGGCTCTAAGTGCAATTTGTACAACCAGAGGATGTTCAAAATAAAAAATAAAATTATCATTTGAACCGAACAAGGTAGAGAACTATGAACCAACAAATTTGATGTATTTAGTATTTAGGAATCAGGATAGCTTAACCAAAACAGTTTCAGGTCATTAACCATAAAAAGCAGTAATGATAAAGAACAATAAAACAATATGTCTATAAAATTTGTAATATCTGTATGTGTAAATATATATATTAATGCTTGGCCTCGTCACTGGATATAAGGAATCCTTTCGCGAAATATGAGTTCAATATTTTCAACATCATTATTTCATATTCTCATTCTCTCAAGTACAGATAAGACCATAATAGTCAGTCATGTTGTCTTACGTTTTCAAGACTGCTAATTAGATTCGAAAGTATAACTACATCAGTTATACTAGACTGCAAGAGGTATTAGTAGCCAATAAAGCCTTGACCTCTTTCCTTTTCTTTTTATTTTTCCTTTTCTAGTCACGGAAACTGAATTTGGTGCATGAAGAGTGAAAGAGGACCAGAAGACAACCCTAAAGGATACCTAAAAGAAAATACAGAATGTTTCCAGTCTTGTAGGACAGTGCCTAGAAAGTCCTTAGTCAACAATGTACATAGACAATCCATCCAATTTATATACACTAATTATGAGAAGCTATGCCAAAAATAATAATTTTACATACCTGGACCATTATAATAGGACCTCCATTGTTGTAAAGAAGGGGAGCTATCTTTGGAAGAATAATCCACCACCATCTTTCAACCTATAAACAGTTTGTACTAAATATTAAGAAAAAAATAGAATCTTGAACAGAGGATGGGTATGCAAACAAATGAAGAGAAAGTAAGAGCCCAAAACATATGCACCAAGCAAGCAAATCTGAAGCATAAGACACTTCTTTAACAAGTTAACGAACTTGGGCAGCTGGAAGGATTGGCTTTCAATTTTACACTTTTCTAATGCAAAATCTGCTCATATATGAAACTATCGCACAATAAAAGAATTTGTTCATGAAAGTAGTTCAATGTATAAGACAAGAGCCTCAACATGAGTCTTTAGTATCCATGAATATAGTATATATGATATTTCCTAACCCAAATCTTTCCAGCTGTATAAAAATTTATGAGGCATGAATACTAAATGTAAATGAGACGACCATTTTCATAAATGGCTTTAACTTGTTTTACAATTGAAGTTGACATTTACTGAATTATCACAGGGACAGAAATATTAAGAAAGAAAATTGAAATAACAAGAAGGGAAGAACTATATATGTTATCAAAAAAAGGAACCAAAGCATGAATATAATTGGAACAGAGATTCAAATAAGAACCACACGAAGTTATATAATAGGGGTGTTGAAGGTTACACCAGACCTTTTAACTCAACAGAATAAAGTATCATAAACCTAATATATTGCAAGTACGTTTATCTTCCTACAATTTTTCAGCACTCGGAACATATTTTCCAACCAAATCATAAGAACACAAATTTCTCATAAAATTATTAAAGCATCAAGTAAACACCCAAGAAAAGGTTACATACAAGCATAATACTGATTCATCTCGGTATCATGTGTTGAACTAATAGATTGTTCTCAACTTACTTGTAAGAGTATAATAAAAAACACATACCCATTGGAGGTAACCAGGATCTGAGGATCTTAGTCTAGGAACAGGATTTTTGGTAAGCAACCAAGCAGGAAAACCCCCTAAATCCCACTCTGCAACAATAAGATTCTTTTTCACTGTATGATTATCAATATTGCAATTGTATCATCATTAACAATATTCAGGTCATGGAAACAAAATTGTTAATGAATAGAGTCCTCCGAACCAATTAAGAAGACCGTAGTTGTACAGACTGAAAGCTGTATGCTAGACCAAGACTATTAAAAATCTCGAGAGTTTCATAGATTTGATATAGTGGTATGGTCCTTTTAGTTCAACCAAGCTATCATGGATCCAAAAACCATTGAGCATACTAAGATCTTAAATATCTCATGAGTTTCAGATAACTAAATATTTTAAGGTCGATTGGTCAAATAGTAATCTCAGTTTTAAGTTTCAACCCTAAAGAATATCACTCGAATTGATGAAATTTTTTAGTCTCGCCATAAAGAGTTGTACATCAAATCAATAGCATTTTGTTTTTAAAAATCAGTATGTATACAGATAGAAAAATTTATAGCAAAAGAAGTCATAAAGGCAAGGATCAAACGGCATGGCCAATAGATAACAAAAAATAGGTTTATGACCTTCCTAAAATATGTGCAAAATACTGGGGAGAAGACACTAGGCTTCACAAGAAAGAAGAGCGTGCTCCTTCTGAACCAAAATACAACTTTGAACTGTTTGGACAAAAATTAATGACAATGAGAATGTACCTGCACATATATAAGGCCCTGCCCGGAGCAAAACTAGAAAATCTAGCTTCTTACAGAGTTGGAGAAACGATACTATGTCTGCAATCCCAGTAAATGTGAAATTTCCAGGCTTTGGCTCATGCAGATTCCAGGGGATGTAAGTTTGGATCGTGTTTAAACCCAATGCCTTTGCTCTAAGCAGCCTGTCTTCCCAGTACTGCAAGTGTAACATAGTTTCACATCATAACAAGTAATGTGGAAGAAAATAAAGCAAAGTTTTTAAGGTCTAGATCTTCAGGACAACTTTATGCAAGAGGATAAATTGATAGAATGCCCATAACTGAGAGCATTTACATCCACGTTATACTATTACTCTATTACAAGGATAGGAATAAGTGCAGAACAAATACCTCGGGAAGAACTCGAAAGTAATGCAAGTCGCCACCAATAATCTGGAATGGCTTACCATCTTTCCAAAACATGTCATCATCAATCTCAAACTTTCTAGTATTAACCTGATACAAATTACAAATTACCCAACTGCTTGAGATTGAGAAATGCTGAACACTGCCACTTCATCTTAAAATGTAAACGTTAAGTGCAAAGATGAGGCCGGCCTCAAATTTTTACGAGGAGGGGCAAAGATCTTTATTTGTACAAACAAAGATTATATATATTCAACAAATATTTGCGTTTATAATTACTAAAATTAAAAAGTTAATTATGAAATAATTCCTTCTGTTAATGGAGTCAAACTACGCCCAACGAAAACAAATTATTCCACAATATCTAGATTTTTTAAATTATAGAAATTCAAGGGGAAACGCCATCTTCATATAACGTGGCCTCGTCCCTAATTTATTGCAGTCATCATGCAATACGACCCGTATGTTTCACAACCCGGCTTACTTCAAATTACTTGCTGAAAAGTTCAAGTTACAGATTCACGACCCAAATTCCAGGAAAGTATTCAAAAGGGTTTAATAACACTTGCTTCTTCAAGGGCTCAAAACACCTGGGACATCATGTAAATCCAATACGTAATCAACCTACCAACCAAAACAGAAATATATTCTTGACTTCCTCGTAATCGCAATAGAACATAATCGGCCATACAAACCCGATTCAAGTTCAGTACTAAGCAAATTTGGGATCCGCGAAAAAGGGTAATAGTACACCCAGGAATTTCATAAATGCCAAAACAACTAATAGACACTTACCTAGATGAATAACTGATAAAGTAATGAAGTCGAGAAGGAAAATTAAACACTACATTGCGGGAAGAAAATCTAGCAACCTTGTTGAATTTAGAACGAGCATGGTGATGGCGGGAGAGGTGGTGGGAGGAAGAGTGCAGTGAAGGGAGCGGAGCAAATACTGGAACGATCACTCCAAAAGATGTAAGCGAGAGGATGAGGAGGAAGAAGAGAGAAGCTCTCACATGTCTTCTTGCCATGGCTGAAAGCTTAGAACTGTAATTCATTCAACAAAATTTGATTTTGTTTTTGGTTCCAACATTCTATAACTGTTAACTATAACTCTCTTGTAATTCTCTTTTTTTCCTCCTCATATAGCTCCATTATACTCTTTAGTTATGGTTTTTTTAACAGTTTATATCCATTATTCTGCAGTTTAATTTCTTTTAGTAGAAGATTGGTATGGTATAGGAATTTGAACTATGGCGGCACGTTGGATAGAAATTCAAACTCACCATCTTATCTTTTTTTTTACTGTAGATACTGTCTTGACTCTAAATTAGGTTCAATCGGTAATTATACAGATTTAAAATAAAGGATAGTTGCAGGAAAAACAAATAGCATCATCTATCAAAAGGTTAGAAAGTGGGCCTAAACATGTAGGCTGGCCCATCTATAAATAGGCCTCATGGCCACTTGGGTCAAATTCCCCAATAGGTTTCCTTTTTCTTTTGACAAAAACCATAGGGTGTTTATGCAATATTGTTGATATAATTGGAATCTAAGTTTTTCTTTGGTCTAAATTCTATAAAAGGATTTTTTAGTTGAATAATATGTGGAAATAGAGATAAGAAGCTTTCCCTTTTAATCGATAATTTATGTCTTAACTAGTTAAATTATGCTCAGATTCGCTACAAAATTATTATCATGGATACGTAAAACTAATTATTTCTATATATAGACATATTTTTTACATTTTTCTACTCTCTTTGAGACAAGAGGTTGACATGATGATTTACTTTATTTTACCAATATTAAAAGGTATTTTATGAGGGATACAATAAATTTTAGAAATAAATTCTTAGAGTTTTTCTTTTTGGAGAAATATACTATTAGATTTGCAACTTTGAACTCCAATCGGGTGATGTTACAAAGTCGAGATATAAACCTTCCTTATCTATGCTTAGCATCTCCAAAATATTTTTCCAATCATTTTTACCAAAATCTTTGTAAAGAGAGAGACAAATAATTTTCATAACAAAATGCATTTTGACATTATATCATCATTTTCATTTTGTCAGTGGAAAAAATAAAAGAAAAAAGAACATAATAAGCTTGAGAGATCGAAAGAGAATTTTTGAACTCTCATTCATTGTCAGTCACATCAGCATCATCTAGAAGCAATGCAAGGTCCAACGACATTAAAGAGTTAAAAGTGAACAGAGAAAGTAGGTATTCTCGCGGTACTAAACAATTTTCCAACATTCTCCATCCCTAAAATCTTTGTTAGATTGCTAAAGTGTCAAAAACAAAGGTGGAATAAAGGTCAAAGGTTACAGAAGTCAAAAGAAGAGATGGTTTTGGGAGTAAGAGATGAGAGTGAAGTGGTCAAACTCTCAGATGGGGAATCCAAAGTAAAAGGTAGCATTGTTTATGGAAGAAGTTGAATAAATGATGATTGGAAATGGGAAGTCAACTGAGGTTTGAATTATTATTATTATTCCAATTTTAAAGGGTAGTGGCTATGCCCTTTGCCCCTTTGTCTTTGTCTTTTGCCTTTGGCCATGCCCACACCCACCACAAAAATATGTATGCAAAGGGACAAACCAACCCATTCTTTTCATTCATTTTTCTAAATATACTACACAAAAAAAGCATCTTTAAAACCCCCTTTTCTTTTCCACAACCATTTTCCCCTTCTTTACACTATAAAATAAAGGTCCAAGTTCAATTTTTTGTTGTTGAAAATGTTGATTGTTATGTTTTCTTTTAGGAAAAAAAAAAAGAAAAATTTTCTTTGTCTAAACCCTAAACCCGATTCCCTTATGAAGCTGGTGAGATTCGGACAATCAAATGGACGATTAAGTACTCATATGCAAAAGTGTCGCTCTTATAGAACTTTTTTCATCTTCGACCTTCAAAGTTCTCGTTTGAATATTTGCTACTATACCTAAGTTGTTGTTCTCTACTCAATAATTGAAATGCATTAAGTTGAAAAATGACGTATTAATATGATTCGTATCGAGTCTTGATCTCGATGGAAAGTTGGGGATGTTGTTGTTGCTATTGTGATAAAGATGGGAAAGGAGATGTGGTAGCAAAAAGTACTTTTAATCCTTTATCACCAAAGTGTCCCTTATAGACAATGCCAACCTGGGAGGTCAAGTTAGGGCTCGGACAAAGTTGCTCATCCTCTCAAATTATTCATTTGGCAAAACTAAAAGATGTACCTTTTTCAAATTGTTTTGATACATAGTTCATATTAGTAGTCATTTTCATCCTCCATAGAATTATTTTTTTAATCAAATTTAGCCAATCTTATAGACCGACTTTTTGATAAGATGAATTAAAAAAAAAAAAAGTTCATGGGTTCGGTTTGGATTGAGTCGGAGTACTTTTTAAACCCAATTCAATTATTCAAGTCGTAAATCTATTCAACTCAAAACAACATTTATTATATAACGAACTCAACTCAATTCAATTATGATGAAACATTTAGGTCAGGTTATTTTGATTTATTCGAGTCATTAAGTTAATGTTTATTTACATGGTGAAATTATATAACACTCCAAAATCTCAAAAACTTGTTTTTAAAAACGGTAATGAGTTACTTAATGCAGTAAAACTAAAATAAAATATATCCCTACATAATTTTATGATAAGTATAATAAATAATTTCGTTGAAGTTTGTTTGATTCAACCTAAATCTATTTTATAACTATTTTATACGAATTCTTAACTCAACTCAAACCAAACGAATTAAATTTACAATCCAACTCAAAATCGTATAAATTAAGTTGGGTTCATCGATTTTTTCGAATCATCAGTTTAGCTCACGCAGTGAGTAGAAATTTGTTGGTTAATTAATGTGTGGGGTACAAAAGGCAAGTGGAGAAAAGAATGGTAAAAAGATAAAAAGAGGAGCAGAGCAGAGGGGTTTTTTGGGAAATGTGCATAGAAAAGAAAAAATTATTGATTTTCAGGCCACACCCTTACTGTTGTGTCTGCTTCTCTCAGTAGAGGCCCTCCCCATGGCCATATCCCCACACCTCACATGGACCAAATAAAAAAGAAAAATAAAAAAGGTTTGTCTGTGTTCTTAAGTGGCAAACATTTATAACAGAGAATGGTATGTTTGTCTATTCTCGTGTTCATCATTTTGTTAAAAAGCAAAGCACCATATTCTTTCTCTCTCTCTCTATGAACCAAAAGTTTTAATTTATTGTCTCATTTTGCAGCTTTGATCATATTTTGGGATCACTCAACAGAGACTTCGAAGCTTTTTCTTGCTGAGGTACCTTAATTTTGAGTTTAGTGCCTTTTTATTTGGTGTTTAAGTTTTGAATTCAATTTCTACTCGATCGGTCCCTAGTTTGGATCGGATGTTTGTTTGGACCATGATAGCTCATACATGTCAATTATGGTTAAGCGCTATATTTATGTTGGCATATTATAAATTCTTGTGAGGTTCTTATCTTTTGAATGTGGGATTCTTAACAAAATATAGACGTATCAAAATCCAAATAAGTTCAAATAAATATCCAGTCCAAAAATGAAATAGGACCAAAATTGGTTTTAGATAGAACACTATAGATATTGATATATTTGACATTAATTTATATTTACTTATATATTCACGCGGTAGAAAAATATTTTATAATACTTCAAATAAGTGATATGACAAAAAATAATAATAATAAATCTCTACAGTTCCACGGCATAACAAAATGTGGACTAAGATTTTTTAATGCTTGTCTTGAAATATCATAAAATACGTAAGTATATAAATAATATAAATTAATATTAAATAGTCACATCAGCATCTTAGCCTCAAGGATCAAAAGTGGACCTTAATAGAAATTCAGAAGTAAATGTATTTGAACATTTTGAGATCGACCAAATGGCAACTAAGCTCAAAACTCATAAATGAAATGGTAATATTTGGAAATCTAGAAAACTGGAATCTAAATGTGAAAATTATGTGTAAAGATGTAATATTTTGAAATCTAAAAACCAAATGGTAAATATAAAACTCAAAATTCACCAAATACATATATATTTTACCCCTTCTTCTTCTTCTTCTTCTTCTTCTTCTTTTTTCCGTCAAAAAGGAGGATCCAATTCCAGATTCATTCGGGGTGTTATAAAATTAGGCCCTTTTAAACCCTTTTTCCAAAGTGCTTTCTTTCCAAGTAAATTTTTAAACAATTTGAGAGTTCATGCAAATGCAACCCCACTCCCCACTATATACATTCCCTTTATATATATATATATATATAATAATTGACCTATCACATATATATCTCTAGAAAGGGTGACAATCTCTCACATCACACTAATTAGTCTTCATATAATATATAAATATTATTTACCATAAAGTTTCCAATACAGGGAACCACTTTTTCTTATCATAGGCTAATTATCACATTTTTGCATGGCCCTTAATGCCCACCCCTTTAATCTCTCTCTCTCTCTCTCTCAAGTAAACCACTTTATTTTGAATGATAATTTGTAAACAAAAAATGATGTTATACATATTGAAATTTTGTAACAATTTTATTAAAGAGATTATATATTTCATCAAGAACATTATTATTATTATTTAATGGATACAAAAATTCTTGAGAAATGTGATGGACAGTGATCCTACCTTGGGATTGATTCCCAGTTGCACCCACATCAGGTGTCAAACAGCATCTCTCTCTTTTGTTTAGCAAAAAAGAAAGAGCAATGTCCAAAACAACCCTAACACACACACACATCTTCCTTTGCCCATCAAAGATTCTTTTTCATTTTGAAGAATCCTATGCTTACTCTTAACCTAAAATACCCCTTCTCTCCTTTTAACTTTATACCTGGATATACCAGGCGGGTAGTTGGGTGTGGCGTGGTGGGTTTGTGGTTGAATTGGGATACCCTTCTCTTCAGTTTGAGTTTGGGGACACGTAGTTGGGACTTCTCCCTCCCTCCAATTTGGGGACGAGTCCTGCAACGTTGATTACAGTGTTGGTTGGCCGTCGACACCTCCAATGATAGGAATCCAACTAACGAAGCCTCACGACATCGTTTCTGAGTTATTAAAAAAAACCTTTATACCTGGATATAATACTTAAATATTTAATGATGATTTCAACATCTTAAATTTTCATTTTTAGATGGGGAGAGTGCATGCTTTTCTTGTGTGGTCTTTTCTTAATTAAAAGGACTTCCATTATGCAAATAATAGTATTGTGATCAAAACCCATTAAGAAACTTAAACAATTTCCAACTTTAGATCTTAATGTATATACATGGATCTGTGTATATTCTTAATTAGGACAGAGAGATACTTAGTGCTGTTTTTATAGTCTTTTTTTCTTTCTTTTTCAAGAGGACTTCTATTAATTATGTGCAAATAATAATTTGAAAAAACCCATTAAAATGTTCTAAATTAAAGTACTATCCATAATTAATTGCACATAAAATACATGGATTATTAGATATATATGACACAATATTGTTGTTGGTACCTATGCAAGGAGTCATCGTTTGGTGGAAGTTGCATCCCATGTGACTTAACCCAAATTATTCTTGAGACCTCAAGTCATCCAAGCTATTTCTCGGAGACTAAACAATATAATTAATATATTTAATCATATGATATTTTTTACTTCATTTAACGTAGCAAATTAAATACATATATACCTATTGAAGTAGGAAGATTTAGGCAAAAAAGATAGTGAATGGTTGTCAATTTTTAAGAATCAAACACGCAAAACTTGATAATTAATGATAAAGGGGCTAAGATTTGACAGAAATCAAAGGGCCAACAGACATTCTCTTATATATATCGATGAAGTGGGGAAAAAGGGCAAACTTTTTTCAGTCCAATCAACCTTTTATTTTGATAGAAAATCTTTCATCTCTAGGTTTCTTATTTAAATTCTTTTTTCTAAAAAAAATCATTTCGCTAAGAAGTATACGATAAACATATAAAACGTCCATTTTTTCTATACTTTCAATGTTTATGTTCAATGAACTAAGTACTTTTGAAATTGATATATATGTTTTGATATTGTACTTTAAAAGAAATATATACTACGGTGACGACTAAAATAGTCTAGAGACTAAACTGAACAAAATTGGAAAGTACATAAATTAAAGTCGAAATTACGAAGATAAAAATATTATTTAAATTCTAAAAATATATCATATGTAGGAGAAATATTCCATCAAATCAACCATGGCAAATAGTTTCTTCACAAGGTGACTTGTTGGTTAGCCGCTTCAAATTAATTTGAAATCTTAAAAGAGTTGTTTCCAGGTTGTTTATAATCATCTGAAACAAATATTCAACGTTTGAATACTTTTTTAAAAAGTTTTGGACTTTTTTGAATTAATTGTTTCGAATTGCACATTAATCTTAACATTCACAAGCTATCATTTCATCTTAAAAAGCTGTCACAAACAAAATTCCAAAACTTTTCGTGACCAAGCAATAATTATAGTTAAAAATATATTAAATTATCATTAACATTTTCACAACTTTTATAACCTAAACTTTTTTACCCAGTAGAGATATAATATAATATCTAGGCGAGGGCTAAAAACGTATTATCAAATAATAATAAATTTACTCTAATTTAACATCTTAAACTTTTTATAAACAACGCCCATATTTAAACATAATAATAAATAATACAATATATAAATTTGTTCCAATATATATACACACACAAAAATAGATAAGAACAATACCTTTCTGCTGATGGCAATAGTAAATTCCTGGTATATGTGTTCACTTTTTGAGAAAAAAAAATAATAAAAAGTCTCTATTATTCTCTATTTCTACATTTTAATTCTTATATGTGAAAAAAATTAGTACAGACACAATACGAAGTTTACTGCTGACCGATCAACACGAAAGTATTGTTTCAGAGATGATAGAGAAAGGTTTAACCTAGGTTCAAAGTGCATCAAATATTGAAGTGTGCTTGATGACAATCACCCACTAATTGCTTCTTATACCTCTACATACTCCAATTTATGAGCCCAGCTAGGGTTTCTAAGCTTTCCAAATGGGTTTTCTAATTGAGTTTTGAGAATGCCTATAGAAAGTCAATACTTTGGCTCCTCCCCTTAACCCTTTAACACCGAGGACTAAATTTTGTTCACACTACTATTGAAAAATTGACAACTCAATAATTTTTATAAAAAATTCTCAGTTTTTTGCATTTTTCTCCTTTAGTTGTCGAATATTCAAAGGTGGTAAGGACATGATTTCTCTTCACCGTTAAGAGCCAAGTATTTTCTTTACATAAAAAAATGAAAATATTTGGCTTTTCACTAGTAAGGAGCAACCTTGTCATTTCCACCATTAAATATTTAACAACTCGTGAATTTTAAAAATATATGTTTTTGCATTTCTTTCTCTTAATTATCAAATATTGAATGGTGGTAACGACAAAATTGCTCCTTACTAGTGAGGAGCCCAATATTTTCCCGAAAAAAAAATCCTTGATTCAAAAGACACATGACATATAACTAAGAACTATGATCATACATTGAAATATACATAATATATATAGCCATAAATACAAAAAGAAAAAAAAAAAAGAAGACAGAAAAATACGATCCAAAAATTCCTAATTCAAGAAGTGGTGGTCCTTTCCCCTTAGGAAAAAGGACCCTTAAAAATGCAATCAGAACAAAACCCAAGAATTCAAACATACATACATATATATATTATATATGTATATTATGTATTCCCATAATGGATCTAACCTTGCCAGGGCTTTTGAATTTGAGTTTGGGAATTGGTTGTCGTCTGAGCCACATTGATGCAGTTACTATAAGCTGCAATATTGTTCAAAAACTCACTGTGGGAAATGGCTCTGAGCCCCAAGAAATCTCTAGTACTCAAATTACCATCTTCAGCCGCTGCAGCTGCTCTTGAAATCCCACCAAACGCGTCTTCACAGAAACTGTTCCTGTAGGGTGGCAGAGCTGCAGCAGCAGCAGCAGCAGTGGCAGTGGAGGAGGACAAATGAAGCCCAAAATTACAGCTTGTAATGGACTGATCAGCAGGTGGATTGTTGCTGTTGCTGCTCATGGTAGCGCCCATTTGAGCTGCTTTCTGGAGAAGCGCTGTGGCTGACATGTGAGGAGAAGGAAGGTGGAGAGAAGTGCTTGTGGGGACACCATTGTTGCTGTTGTTGTTGTTTTGATGATGATGATCATCAAGCCAAGGGGGGATGAAATTGCTTGAGTTTTGTAGTGGTGGTTCTTTTTTGAGGGGAAATGAGGGGATGTGGTCTAGAGGGGTGAAATGGGGATGGTTTTGGAAGGTGTTTAAGTGAGAGATTAGAGGTGGAGGGTTTTGATTGGCCATTAGGAGGATTGGGTTTGGTGGTGATGATGATGTAATGGCTCTTGCACTCTCCTCTGCTAATGCATCACAGAAAGCTCTGTGGGTTATGAAACTATCCCTCCTGTGATCACAACAATGAACCCATGAAAATTAAGAACAAGAAAAAGACATACCAAGTAAAAACAAAAGCTCATTATATTGTCTCTCAAAACCAAGCATATATATACAATACAATAATACAAGACCAACTCTTTTGTCGATGTATATATAGAATCGTGTCAGATCTCGCTTTCTACCAACATGAACTTAGTTGAGCGGTAATTGTCACTTTGGTCTTGAGTTTGAATCCCTCCACCGTCCCTGCTGGTTGTACTAAAACATATATATATATATGTATATATATATATATGTATATATATATATATATATATATATTTCTGAATTCTATGTATAAAACTTTACCCCATATAGTTTTTGGGGTTAGGAAAAAGCTGCCATTTTTGTTTTATTTATCGGTTTTTATAAAAAAAAATATCATCGCTTTGATCGCAACCGATCCATCACACATCTTAAAATGAGTTTTCTTTTTTTCACCCAAGAAATTCCTTCTAATAACCCATGTGACAGTGAGTATGTATGTAAATAAAAGATTAAATTTTACCTTAATCCGTAAATTCAAATTTCTTGGATTAATTATTCTAGTTATCTTATATTGTTAAACTAAAAATACCTAGTTCCTCACGAGTGATGAGTAATCTTGTAATCTTGTTACCACCATTAAATATTTGACAACTAAAAAAGAGAAAAAATAAGAAATTTTATATTTTAAATAGTGAGTTGTAAAATATTTAAGGATGATAAAAAACAAAATTTCTCCTTACAAGTGAGGAAAGTGCCTTTCCTTGTTAAATTATCTTATAGCTTAAAGTACAGGAAGGGAAAAAATTAATATTTCTCATTAGCCATTTACATTCATAAACAAACATTCTCAACCTACTAATTAATTGAGATTTTAGGTAGGATTCTAATTTGGTATGGTTTAATTTACGAACACACACGAACAAAAGTTCAAGATCACACGAGTCAGTAAAATCTTACGAATATATTTTTACCTCGAGAAAAGGGTTCCACAGTCACATCTGTACTCTCTGGTGCCACAAGTCTTAGAATGTGCTTTCCAATCTGATTGAACTGCATACCTCTTGGAGCACTTATCACATTTCCATTTCTTTTCACCATGCTTTCTGCAAAAGTGCTTCTTGATTCCAGTCAAGTCCCCCAATGCCCTTGATGGGTCATGGTGCACACAGCTTGTCTCTGGGCACACATAAACCTTCTTCCTTATCACCTCTTTGTTTGCTCTTTGCTTCAGCTTCCATGGCAGATTGTGCCCTCTCCTGTGCAGCTGAAGATTTTGATCCCTCTGAAACCCCTTGTTGCAGATCTCGCACAAGAATCTGTTTGTCGCCAATAGCGCCTTCGGAGATAGCGCTATTACTTCCGCATCCGGGTCTGCACCCACCACAATTGACGACAACGACAATAACAATTATTCGATCTGTAATCGAAATTGACTGAAGAAGCTAGAACAATCCTGGCTATTACACCGTTGGATCTAAAAAAACAAACCTGGATTCCCGGGGAGGTTTCTCTTCTTCTTGGGGGGCGGTGGGGCGGAAAAGTACTGGCCGGAATAGTTGGCCGGAAGCTGATCGGCCCGGTTGCCGGAGCAGGCGCTGGCTTCACCGGAAGCTGAAGTTAAATTTGACAAATTTTCCTCCATGGCCTGAACTACTTCTTCTTGTTGAAACAGCAAACCTTTAATCATCCTAATATATAACAACAATCAATAGACAAAGATTAATCATCCTAAGATTAAGCAAAATATATATATTGGATCTTAAAAATTAGGAGGTAATTATAAGAACAAAAGACAAAGAAGAAACTAAAAGAAGTAAAATCCAAGTGAGAAAGTGAACAAAATTCACTCCCTCACCTCACCTCTTTGAATTTGAATCTTTTCTTGAATTTGGCTGCGACCCAAGAGACAATTTTTGGTTCTTTTTCTTTTTTTCTCAATAGCTCATAAGAAACAAGCTTCAAGCTTCATATATATGCATGAAAGAGAGAAGTTGAAGAAACAAAATCCTGGGTTTGGTTTTTGGTAGAATATATATTAAAAATCTTGATAATACCAAGGGAAGAATTAAGTAGAATAATATC